ACAGAGAGGTATTCCCTTCCAGTGCCAGCACACCCGCGCACGAGCGCCAAAGACTCAACCACCATGCGTCAGCACCGACACACAAACACACACACGCACACGCATGTGCCACGTTCTCTCGTGGAAAGGACGCTCACATGTACACGTGTACACAGCAAGCAAGCACATGCTCGACAACGACCTTACCCGTGTTTGTGCCCTCATCGACTGCCCGTTGAAACCCTTTGTTGTGCAGGTGCCAGTTGGGGCAGAGAAGCTCGGCAGAGAACGGCTGCGCATAGACTGTTCTGTGGGCCGAGTCCTTGTCCTTCTCCTTCTCCTTGGCAGCGCTGCTGGGGGTCACGCTTGACTCCAAATCTACACGAACCACACCAAACAGCCAATATGAGTTCAAAACAATCCGCCAGCAACGTGTCAGTCAACCAGAGTACCCAAGCGCAGGGCCGCTCGCAGTAATCTAACAACACCGATGCACACACACACACACACACACACACACACACACACACACACACACACACACACACACACACACACACACACACAAGCATCAGCCCATTTGGTCACGCAGCCGCACATGCAAGGCTGAGTGAGACAGGCGCACCTTGTCGAAACTGCCGTTGCTCTTTAGACAGCCCTTTGCGTGTCACGTTGTCAAGCTTCTGAAGGAACCCTTGTGCAACCCTCAAGGTCACCTGTGGCGTCGGCGTCGTTTCATCCAGCACACTGCGGACTTGCTCAAGCAGGGCCTTGATGTTGTCGGTGAAGGGCTCCTCCAGCATGATGTCGACATAATCCCTGACGTTGGGTTCGTTGTCGAGAGGGCCGGGTGAACTGATTTCGATCCCATGCCGGCCTGCAATTGTGCTGATCTGCTCGGCGAAGGCGCGGTATGATACCGTGCAGTCTTGCAGAGTGCCCTTGAAAAGGCTCTCGTACTCTTTCATTGCTGCTTGCAGATATGCGCGCGCAAGAACGCCAGCCTGAAAGGAAAGAGGACGAGTCGATTGAACAAGGTACAGCAGGTGCCCACAAAGTGAGATTATGGTTGGTGTGCACGTAGACAATTTTGGCGCCAAGAGGGCGGTGATGATGGTTTCCGAGTGCACACACGCACACACACATGCACACATACATAAACATACACACAGGTGCACACACTCACACATAAACAGGTGAGCACATGTACATGGACAGAACCATACACTCATACACGCGCCCTCTCGGGCTCTCGCCACACGTTTGCACACAACCCAAACAATAGCCCACCACGTTTGTCGGCAGGCTTGTCATGAGCTCAGGCTCTTTGGTTTTCCCCTTTTCAGAGGTGGACATTGCGGTACTGTTGTTTGAATCCTCTCCCTTGCATCGTCCATCATGTGTGCGCGTGTGTGTGTGTGTGTGCAGGCGTACATGTGTGTGTGCGTGTGTACATGTGTGAGCAACTCAAAAAGCGCGCGCATTTGTGCAAGCCCACAATCGGGCTGGCAAGTGCTTCGACAACAAGTGATGCTGGGCCGTCACCATCGCACACGCTGCGTGCTGCAAGGCACTTTTGGTGTCTCCCTCGCCGTCTGCTCTGCAGGCCACCCTCTCACTCTCTTACCTGGCTGGGAGAGTTGAACTCCCACGACGACAACATCTTTTTTTGAATTTACCGGCCAGCGATACCCCAGTCGAAAAATCCATGATAATATCCATGATTCCTCTGTTAGGCGTTTTGTCACGAATTTCCACACCACAAAAAGTAGTGACGATCGCTCCACCTGAACCGGCCGGCGCACAACACACGTGTTTGCAACACACACACACACACACACACACACACACAACACAGACACGATGAAGGTCAAGGTGTTGAGGCGCGACGAAGATCAAGTCGTGCGACAGTAAGTTGTGCTTGTGTGTGTGTGTGCTTGTGTGTGTGTGTGTGTGTGTGTCAACCACCAGCTACACTGCGGCCTTGTCGTTGCTCCCTCGTTTCTCGCTCGTCTTGTTTCTCACACCGCCCACCACGCTTCTTCATGCAACGGCAGGAGCAAGCACGACTTGCCGCGCATGCAGCGCAACACAGCCCCAGAGCTGCACCCTTTCGAAGCTGCTCGCGAGTACAAGCGCGCCCTGAACTCCGGTGCGGCGTGAGATGCCTGCCTCGTGTTGGTGCCTTGCCCACGAACACCACCCATCACATTTCGATTCCAGCTCACTCCCTGCCACGCGCACCACAACACTTGGGATGTCAACAGTCAAACTGGAGCGTGTGTTCGCCAAACCTTTCATCTGCTCTCTCGATGGTGTGTGTGTGTGTGTGTGTGTGTGTGTGTGTGTGTGTGTGTGTGTGTGTGTGTGTGTGTGTGTGTGTGTGTGTGCGCGCGTGTGTGTGCGCGTGTGCGCGCGTGTGTGTGTGCGTGTACATGGGTGGGTGGGTGCGTGTTTACGGGCGTGTGCGTGTGTATGCGGGGCGCTGGCGACTGTGGTTCGAGCATGGAGTTGTGATAAC